AGGAGGCAAACATCCTCCTGGGTGGAGCGAGGTGATCTGACCTGAGCTGGGAATTAGGTCACCTCGATTTTGAAGGCTTCAGTTTAAGGCTTCTGTCTTTCCAATGCTCAGTGTATCCCTGGTTTGATACATGTTGCCCTATTGGGTTTGCTCCCATATTTTTGAGGCCCTCCAAGAAATGCCTGTCAAAATCCAATATACAGAAACTCAGAAAAAAATGGTATTTGGAAATTGAAGTCCTGGCAGGTGCATGCAGAAGCCATTTCTGGATGCTTGTTGCCAACACTGTCTGTATGGCCTCTTTTGTAAACATTTAAGTGTCTGAGCAGCTGTTCATCCTTCTCCCCCATGTCCAGATATGGCTGATTTTCGAGAAGTCTTTGCCAAAGCAAAGCACATAGCCATCATTACAGGAGCTGGTGTTAGTGCCGAGAGCGGAGTTCCCACCTTCAGAGGAGCTGGAGGTTTCTGGAGAAAGTGGCAAGCACAGGTACGTACTCACGGCACACATCTGCACTGCTGTGTTTTTCCATCAGTTTTTCCATGGGAGTGTGAAGAGTCAGAAGAAGCTAAAAGTGTTTTTCCAGTGGTTTGGTTTATCAGCCATTTGGGAAAAATGAAGTTTTTGCAGACAGCTCTGGGTCTTTCTACTGTCCTTGTTTTCTTGCCGCCTTGCAGCTTAGCTGTTTGCTCTTGTTTGGACACCTCAGTGTTTTGCTGCCTCATGGGGCCCTTCCTAATTTAAAATCTTAAGAAACTTCTACCAAAATAATAAAGGGCAGTACCAAAGATACCAACTAGTTTTCTTTTAATGGTGGCTTTAGATTTTACAGGCACATTAAAGAGATATTAGGCTTGTAATTTGGCCTGTGCTACATTTAACCTAAAGCAGAAAAGAAATTGCTAGCGCAGGAGGTGCATCCGCACAGCACTGAGTTTTATGGCTGCTGTGTGAATGAGTTCTGAACACCCCACATGGTGCGTGGGGAAACCTCTCATCATCCTTTGGTCTCGGGATTTGGGGGGCAGCACAGAACGAGGTCCCAGTGTACCATGTCAGACCCGTGATGTCCCTTCAATACAAGTTATCCTCTCTCAGTAAGATACCTTGGCTCGTGGTCCTGGTGGGACGTGGCTCACGACCTTTATTCCTGTCACTGCATCTGGTTACGAGTAGTCTGTGCCTGTCCAGCTCTGCAGGGAACAGCCGAGCTGACAGGACGCTGCCTGGCCTCCATCTGGGTGTGGGGCTCTCTCGCACCTTCCTTATCGGAGCAATGTGTTGCATCTCTCTCAGGAACTGGCCACTCCGGGCGCTTTTGCACGCAACCCTTCCCGTGTGTGGGAGTTTTACCATTACCGCCGGGAGGTGATGCTGAGCAAGCACCCCAACCCCGCGCACATTGCCATCGCCGAGTGTGAAAAGCGGCTGAGCAAACAAGGAAGGAGCGTGGTGGTCATTACTCAGAACATCGACGAGCTACACAGGAAGGCAGGCTCCAAGCACCTCCTTGAAATTCATGGTAAGGATCAGCTCACCTGCCTGCCACGAGACGGGAAAACTTTGGGGAGAGAAGGAGCGGGATGACTGCTGGGAGAAATGAAACTTGTCTTAACTGCATGCTAGTGGTTATCGGTTTATTTGTGGTATCACCCTGTTCTCTTCTGGAAGTTGTTTTGGGCTACCCCCTTTATTTGTCACTGCCCTTCTTAATGGGTTCTGACCCACACAGGAACTGGTTCTCCCCTCCCACCTGCTCGGGTTTGCCTTACATCCACCTGAATGCATGTGGAGAGTGAAACCTGGCTGATGCTGCTTCAGAGGGGGAAAAGAGTCTATCGAGGGCTTCAGCTGCGTGGTGGCAGTGGTGTCACAAATAAAAGGCCTCTGGGCAAGAGCTGTGCTGCCAGCCCTGGCGCTCTGCCCTCTGTGCTGCCTGCCGCTTGCCCTCTGTCCTGTCCTGTCCTGTCCTTCCTGCCTGTGCTTTGCCTTCCCGAGGAGGAGGGGACTGGAAGTGGCAGAGGAGCATGACGCAGTTTGTTTCTTTACAGTTGTGGGTCCAATGATAGATCCTGGGGTATAGTTACATTTTGATTATTCTTATTCTTTACAAAAAGAAGCTCCACAGCGCTCGGTACTAACTCTACAAATGTTTACAGGTATACCATTTGGGTTTGGGGAGTTTGCATAAAAAAAAAAAAGTGGCGTTAACCAGCATGTTATTACTATTATTATTATGGACAATGTTTCTCTTTTAAGGGAAAAAACAGTAAGCAGAAATCAACTCCTTTGGTAATATTTTAAGGAATGATTTTCCTCTCAAAAACTGCGACTCGGCTGTCCTGGGCTGCAAACCAAACATGTGTGCATGCGCTGTGCAGACAGTGCCTCAGTCGGAAGGCTGCTGGGTTGCAACACCTGATCCTGGTCGTGTGGGGGTTACCCACAAGCCAAACAAAGGCCACCGAGGATAAACATCGCCACTTGCTTGTACAGCCACGCTTCAGAGCACTTGTGTGATCCCTGACGTTTCCTTTTTCTGTTTTTCAGGAAGCTTATTTAAAACTCGCTGCACCAACTGTGGAAACGTGACTGCGAATTACAAGAGCCCGATATGCCCAGCACTGGCGGGGAAAGGGTAATACACCTACCTGCCTTGCAGGCTTCCTGTGCTTCCTGGTTAGGCTGCTGCACGCTTTGAGAACAGCTCTTCGCTCCCATCCTCTTTGTTTTCCCATATTTCAAATCATGCGCTCATTCCTTACATCAGGCTGTCATCGCTGTAGCATATAACCAGATTGTCCTCTTCTGCGTCTCTTGAGCACCTAGTAGCTCTTGTGCTTCTACGCATCAGTGAGATTCTTAGGGTTACAGGTCTTGAAACATGTGTGAAACAAAAAGGAAGGAAAATCAGTTCCCAGGGTTTCTTCTTAAGTTGCGGAACAGTCCTGTGGGCTCCTGCATCCTTTTTCTTTCACTGTTGAACTTTAAAAAAAAAAAAAAAAAAAAAAAAAGAGGGAGGGGATGATAGGCATAGGCGTAAAGTTTTAGTCCCTTTGCATTTCACCATATCTTTAGATAGCTTCACAAATAGTTGTTGTGCTCTTGTCAGACTTTGAGAAGCCGATTGCAGCTCTGGGATAATTCTGCATAGAAGTCTGCCTGCCCTGTGTGTGGTAGGCTAGGGTGGTAGGAGATGTTTAAGTTGACTGAAGTTGCAGATTCCTTGATTAGAGAGTGTGCTTTAGGGAACACCAAGTTTTTAGTAATATATGAAGTGCACTCCATTTGTGTGATTGAATAAATATTTCAATTTTGTAACCTCAGGGCTCCAGATCCAGATGTAGAAGATGCTTCAATTCCAGTTGAACAGCTTCCTCAGTACGTATTGATGACTTTATTTTTTGCTATTGATTCTTCATACGTGATGCATCTCAAAGTACTGTTTGTGTCATTCTGGAAGGACACGAATTCATTCTGCGAGATAAAGAGACACGGGTCTTTGCCCAGAGACTGAGTCTAAATCTAAACCTAACGTCAGGAAGACCCCAGACAATAGGAGTGGATGCTGGAAGGTTACCATGATGCCAAAGTGATTGCTTGTTTGTGTTCTTGAGCACTGAGGGCAGAACACACCTGGAGTCATGGGCTTGGTTGCGAGTAGTAGGAGAATTGAAGTAAGAAACTAAGGCAGATGTGTCCAAACGAGAATGAAAACCATTCTGTCGCTGTGCAGGTTGAAATGCCCGCATCAGAAACATCATGCCGTACCTCTGTGATTTTTAAACAGGTGCGAGGAAGACGGCTGCAACGGTCTCCTTCGTCCCCACGTTGTGTGGTTCGGTGAAACGCTGGATCCTGACGTCCTCACAGAGGTTGAGAAGGAACTGGACATGTGCGACCTCTGCTTGGTGGTGGGTGTGGGTCTTGTCGCCTAGGAGGTTACAGCGGGGGGGCTAGGTCCAAAGGTGGCGCATCCTGGGTACAGGAGATGCCTTTGTGCTTCCCCAGGGGAGCTGTAAGCCCCCGAGAATTATTTTGATGATCAGTTTTCTTTTTTAAAAAAATTACAAAGTGTTGTAAGATGGTAGTTAGCTATTGGCGTGTGCTGCTGCTTCTTTTTTTTACATGCCACGTACGTTTTGCATCACTGACCGAAACATTTGCTTGGAATATTGCCTGCCGCTCACCAAATAATCTCAAGTGCTAGAGGGGACGCTTTGTTTTGCGTTCCAGAAAGTAGTCTGCCATTTGGGGCATTAGAGCTGTAAATGAGGAGAAAACAAACAAACGTGAATCCCAGAAAAGCAAACAGGCTTCTTTGGGTCAAAAATCAAACGATTTTTGATTCCTATACCACGTCAGGTAGCTAAACGTGCAGTGGCACTAACTGTACATCTTTCACCTCATTTCTGTAGGGCTCTTGTGTGCTTTAGGGCTTGCTCATGGCTTTTTGACGCCCCTGCAGGTGGGAACCTCCTCAGTGGTGTACCCCGCTGCCATGTTCGCCCCTCAGGTGTCCGCCCGAGGAGTGCCGGTTGCAGAGTTCAACATGGAAGCCACTCCTGCTACAGACAAGTTCAGGTAAGGCTGGACTGTTAAAAAAAGAAGACAAAACCCTCCTTTTATTATTTTTTTTCACTGGTATGAGACAAGGCAGCCTGCCCTTCTAACACCAGCTTCTCCCTTGCAGGTTCCACTTCTCGGGCCCCTGCGGGACCACGCTGCCGCCGGCGCTGGCCCGGCACCACAGCGAGATCATCGCCTGATGGGGGCCGGGGGGTGTCTGTGTGTGTGTGTGTGTGTGTGTGTGTGTGTGTGTGTGTGTGAGGGGGGGCGAAGGCTCCACAATAAAGGCGGCACCTGCCCGCAGCCTCCCTCTGTGCTGGGGTATGGCCGGGGGAGGGCTCTGAGGGGCGGCCGTTGGGCTGTGAGGGGGCGGCCGTTGGGCGGGAAGGGGCGGCCGTTAGTCGTGAGGGGGCGGCCGTTGGGCGCTGAGGGGGCGCGGCCGGGCGGCGGAAGGCAGCGGCGCTTCCGAGGCGGGGCTGGGCAGCCGCGTGCGGCCATGGTGAGGCGGCGGCAGGAGGAGGAGAAGGAGAAGGAAGAGGAGGAGGAGGTGGTGGCGGCGGCGGTGCCCTCCCCGGCGGCGGTGCCCTCCCCGGCGGCGGTGCCCTCCCCGGCGGCCTCCGATGGCGAGGATGCCCCCGAGGAGCTGTCTTTCGGCGCGGCGGCGGCGGCGGCCGAGAGCGAGCGGCAGCTGGCCGGGGAGGCGGCGCGCAGGTAGGGCCGGCCCTCGCCCCGCTGCCCCCTTCCCTCCCTTTCCCCGTCCCCTTCCCCTTCCTGACGGCCCGGCCCCCCTCCCGCAGGCACCGGGAGCTGCTGAAGGAGAAGCGGCGGCGGCGGCAGGAGCTGTTCGTGGAGCAGAAGGTAACGCCGCGCCCCCCATCCCATCCCATCCCATCCCATCCCATCCCATCCCATCCCATCCCATCCCATCCCTTACACCCACAGCCCGGCCGTTAACGGCTGCTAACCGCCGGTAACGGCCGTGTGCCCGCAGAGGAGGAAGCTGCTGCCCGAGGCGCTGCTGCAGGAGCTGGCCGCAGGACGGTGAGGCTGGGGGCGGGCGGGGGGTCACCCACGGTGCCTTCCCCCGGGCCCTCTGCTGGGCACTGACCGCCTTTCTCCTTCCTTCCCTCCTCCCTCCCTCCCTCCGCAGACCGGAGAAGCCCGCTGCAGCTGAGCGAGGTATGCTGAGGCGCCGCTGGGCTGCTGCCAAAGAAAGATAGTGGGGTTGGTGGTGGTCGTGCTTAATCTTGATGGCAGAGCCCACTTACAAACGTTTTGTGATGTAGAGTGGTTTCATGTAAAAGATCTGGGGTCTTTAGTGTGGGCAGCAGGCAGGTGTTCAAACGGAAACAAGCAAGGATGGCCAGAAAGATGGTAATTTCAAGCATTCATTTAAGTTATAGAAGCTATTTAGATAGAGCTCTTAGTTGCCTTGATACTTTCTATAGTTGATGACACTTGTAAAAAACATTTTTCAAACCCTCAACTAGAAAATCAGACACCAGGGTACTCCCAAATGCTGCTTTCTAGCCCGCTTCAGAGGGGGCTAGAAAGCCCCCCTCTTATACTACACAAAAATAAGTTGTAGAGTGTTCTTTTAATAATGATTCTCTCATCATGATGTAGATAGCTGGTATAACTGTTGCTACTTATTTTTTGTTTGAGAAAAATAGTTGGCATATAACAGATGAGCTCAGTGTGGTGTTTTGAACACTCAGTGTTTGTGATACACATTTAGTAGAGAATGAAGCTCTTTGCAAGCAGTGCTTAGCTGTTGTGTAGCACTGAATTTTTGTCCCTTTTGTTGTTGTTGATGCCAAGGAACAGCAAAGGCAGATGGCTGCTTCAGGATGGTTCCCCTTCTCTTCCCTGTAACACACTTAACTAGCTTTCACTAGCCAGAGGGTCTGGAAAAACACTTGTTGGAGTTAGCTTGTTTCTCAGTTGGGTCGTTGTTTCTTTCCCGCTTGTCTTCCATTTACTGATCTTGATTCATAATGTTCTGGATTTTTTTTTGTTGTGTCTAATAAATTTTCTCTAGACAAGCAGCCTGGCAGTAGGTCTGAGAAGCAGAGCGAAGGCCGTGTGCTCAAACAGGCGAAGCAGGACAAAGCCAGGGGTGCCAGGTATGCCAAAGCAGAAGGTGTGGGGCTTCTGTCTCAGTGTGACAGCATTGCTTCCCCCAGTCACAGCAGAGGTTTGGCACTTGGTGGTGTTGCCCCTGCCCGCTCTCTCACAGAAACAAATTTATGTGCTTAAATTCCGTTATGCTGCTGTACTTGTAAAAATATATCTTAACAGCAGATATTACGACATGGCTTCCAGGTAGGTACCTTTACCCTGCTGATGTACATGGGTGCTGGATTGTTTGCTTTTCTTTAATTAAATTAATTGTGGCTGTAGATAATACTATGCATGGATTTTTTTAAGTGCTGTATTTAGGCTTGTAATGATCAGCTCTGAATTTATTTGCAGCTACTGGCAAATGAAAATAACTTTAACACTTAGCCAAGGTATGCATTCAATAACAGAGGCAGAGCTGAACTTCTAAAAAACATTTTGGGCTTTATTCTTCTTCCTTTATCTTGTTCACTTCTTGCCGTATAGGTACAGTTACAAATGTGCATAGGTAGAATTAGTGTGTGTGTGTGCACAGGTAAGCTTTCTTGATTCCACTGGGCAGTATCACTTCAAAGTGGAATTTTGAGAAGAATCCTGTCTTTCCTCTGTCACCTGGTGTGAGCTATCCAGGCCATCATCAGCACACCAATAGAAGTTTTGCTGTGTTCTGCCTCACATCCACTTGCTGGGGACTTAATTGCTGGATTTCATTCTGTAGGGGACAGTTGCAGGAGCTTCTGGCAGGACCAGTTTGAGAATTGCAGTCCATTTATTATTATTATTATTATTATTATTTTTAACATTGCTGCAAAGCTTGGCTGATCATCAGAAGCCTGTGCAGACAGCTGCTGTGCTCAAGTAGCAAAATACTGGCTAAAGGGTGAGTGTTGCTCTGGGTTCAGTAACTATGCTGCAATGATTTAAATCTTTCTTTGAATAGGTCAAAAGGAAACTACACAGCTATGCACTTAAAAGATCAGAGCTTAACAGGGCTCCACCAACAAACAGCCAAAGACTTCGTGTACAGCCATCTCTACGGCCCAGGCACCAACCGAACAAGTGGTATGCAGTTTTCCTTAGGTTTGCATCGAGGTTTGTCTGTGTTAAACCTAGTAATTGATGCTCATGTCCATTTCAGCAAATGAATTTTTTTCCCTTGCAAACAAGAAAGATCCAGTTAAAAAAGCTGCAGTTCAGTTTGTGGACAAATCTTGGGGTAAGTATCCAAAAAAACTGAAGGTGGTACTACTTTATGCAGATATCGCTTGAATTATTTTTTCTAAATTTAAATAAGCTTTTGCATGTTACAGGGCTGTAGCTTCCTACCTTCTTATGAGAAGAAAGTGATAGTAAGGCAGGGGAGCAGGATGGTACAGCCTGAGTGTGCCTAATGAATGCTTCGCTGGAGAGAGCCTCTAGGACAAGCATTAGCTCATTTTTCATACAGTAAGCAGCAGTCTCAGGGTTAGAGCTACAGTTACTTGTTGAATTGGATAATTTTACTAATTCTTGCTTGGGGGTTTATAGCTTGAGCTGCTGAAGTCATTTCAGATTAAGATCTTAGTGAGAGCAGAGGGCAGTAGTGCCCCTTCATCCCTATAAAAAAAAAATGGACATTACCTAAATGAATGGGGACAGACTTGGACACACATCAATCCCAGCACACCTTGCCCATCAGTCATAGAATTTGCTTCCGTGGCAATCACGGTTTGATATCACGTTGTAGGGATAGGACAAAGGCTAATAGCTTTAAACTAAAAGAGGGAAGATCTAGATCAGATGTTAGGAAGAAATCCTTCACTGTGAGGGTGGTGAGGCCCTGGCACAGGCTGCCCAGAGCAGCTGTGGATGCCCTACCCCTGGAGGTGCTCAAGGCCAGGCTGGATGGGGCATTGGGCAAGCTGGTGTGGTGGGGGGTTGGAACGGGGTAGTTTTTAAGGGCCCTTCCATTCTGTGATCATAAAGATCAGAGGAAAACATTAGACTCAAGTAGCAGTCCTTGGTCATCAGTGTTTCTCACTTGTGCTTTGAAAGTAAAAGCATTATCAGCTTTCCCCTCAGTTCTCCTGTCTTAAGCTTCAAATGTTGCAGTAATGAATACATGGCTGCTGGTTACAGAGCTGGACATGGAAACTGCTTACAGCCTTACTGTTTTGTTTTTGTTTTAAGGGCTAGAAAAAAAGCAAAAAGCAACCAAGTTTAAGAAACACTGGATTTCAAGGAAGATGTAAAGTACAGCATGAAGACATGCCATCAAGGACTAGGGCTAAAGATTCTCACCACCTGTATATGTAACAGCTGTTGTTTTTCTGCCCCCTTCTCCATCACCACTGCTCTTTCAGCAGGTACTGATCTTTACCGAGCTGTGTCCCCATTGCCCTGTGTTCTTTACCTCCCCCTTTCAGAACTTAGTGGGGGCAGCTAATGAAGCGCTGAGTCACAGCAGGGACAGGGTGACCTTCAGGGGCTGCTAGAGCTGGACTCCATTTCATGAGAGAATAAAGACAAATGACTTTGTACTTACCCTTCTGGATGCTGCCTTTCTTAAACCCCTCCAACTGCTGGCCGTGCTTGCTTCATGGTAAGAACACACTCAGCTTTTAACTGTCAGCAGTTCAGCTGCTACAGTACGCTGATGCAGTGCAGTAGGAGCACAGGGTTGACCCCTGAAGCACCCTGCTCAAATCAGGCCACATTAGAAGCACTGGTCTAGGATAAACAGCTCAAAGAAAGTGTAGCATACACGTCCATGCTACCTCGTATGTAGAAGTAAGTTTTTAATGGCTGGTTAATTATGATATCACTACATTTTATTGCAATATAGTACTATTTAAGCACTTTTAAAAATGCAAGGTGTACAAAGATTAAATTAAGACTGTAAATTGACTAAATATTTGGTTTTTATATAAATAGGTCATAACCACACTGTGTTGACATGTAATACTGTTATAATACAACAGTTAAACTGGTGAGTCTACACAACAGAAGCTGTCTGTAGTTAAACAAGGAAACAAAGTTGAAAAGACCATGTTAAAACAAAAAAAACTACTAAGATCAACAGGTTGGGATTGTAAGTAGCAACAAACATATTCACTCAGCTCCTGAGTAATTCAAGTTTTACAGTACACATTAAAAAATATCATTTCTTCCCATCAACACTATATATCCAAACCATCAGGTGTTTATGCATTTTGCAAATTACATTGATTGAACTATGTAACAATGGGGGTGGAGGTTGGCAAGTCATCCTGCTTGACGTTTGTCTCACCCATATGCTAACACATCCACGTTTGCTATCCTTCCGTCCCACCACAAGGTAGCAGGATTTTTGGTTTGTTTTGGACAATCGTTTAGAGGATTTGTAATTGTCAATTTGGATGGCTGACGTTATCAGTGATATTTTCCACTCTTAGTCGCCTAAGAGGTTTAAAGATGGAAATTTTCTCCTAACACTAAGTTAGAAATCATTTGCATCATGCTGTAAACTAGGAAGCAACATAAAGCGACAGACTTGTCCTTAGTACATAATTAAAATCCCAAATTCCAGTCAGCAGAGCTGGTCTACTTTCCACGTCGAATATGCCACAACACCTTTCAGATCTTCAAATGCATAGCTAGTGTAGGTAATCTTCCACTGTGGCAAACGCGCAGGATCCAATTCCTGATCGGGCCATCAATCCTAGACACTGTGAGGCTTGTCCCATGGCGAGGGCAAGCGGCGGTTGCTTTGGCAGATTGTGAGTCTCTGAAAGAGGATTCACAATGGCAGTTGAAATACCTCATTAGTTTTCATGATTTTTCATGTACTGAAAACAAAATTCCTGTATTTACATGCAAAGCTTATCCTTACAGTAATACAAAACAGCAATAAAGTGACATTTTGAAATTCCCCACCTAGCCCTATTGTTAAAAAAAAACATTTTTGCTTGGAACCAACCAGACAGGTATTATATTTGTTGCACTAACACCCCCCAAAACTCTGTTCTGCCAGCAGAGCATGATTGCACTGCCACCCCTCACTGGTCCCTCAGCCAGCAGCCCAGCACACGACGCAGGGTGAGCAGCAGCGCTGCCGTTCTTCAACAAAAGGCACAGGGGTACCAAACATGCAAACCACGAGGCCTTACCTAGTATTGCACTATTAAGCACAGAGCACACAGGTTCTCTTTGTATCGGGTCAAGCTGATTTCCAACAGGGCTGCTCCAAGGATCCGAATATGCAAGTAAACTAAAAGCATCCTGTGGAAAGATAATTTAAAAAAAAATCATTATTGCATCACAGCTATATTCTACTAGGACCATTTTCTTAACGCATTTTGACTCATGACTCCAAAGCGAGAAGACAGTTGTTTTTTATAAGACAGATTTTTACCTAAAAATCCTTCATCAGTACAAAGGGATAAAAAAATCTAACAGAAGTTGTTTTAAACAAGTGGTGTTTTTCCCAACAAAATTATTTGGAAAGATAAAATCAGTGTTTTAGTAAGTGGCAAGAAAAAAACAGACTGGAAATTGTAGGCAGTCAGTCTTTGGTAAGGGAATTATTTTCCAGGGCAGCCTCAAATCAAGGTAAACTAATTATACACACTGAGCATACTAAACAGAGCACACATTTCTGGCACCTGCACCAATTCTCGCTGAAAGCTGTACTTTGATTCCAGTAGCCAGGCTCATGGTCAGAAATAAGAGAAAAGGGATGTGCCAAATTCAGCTCTGCTCTGAATATTATTACAGCATGAAGTTATTTTCCCCCATGAATGTGCTACACAGACAAGATGGTGCTACCCACCGCTGACTGGAATGCTTAAGCTTCTGTGATTTTTGTCTGAGAGAAGCAAAATAATACTGTTACTCAGCATGCTGTGAGAAGTTTCCACCATGAAAAGTTTCCACTGGGCAGCATGGTTGTTCACCTTAACACCACAATTTCAGGATTAAGCATACCTTGAGCATTTTCTTATTTGCTGTGTTTTTGCCACATTCTCTTCTTAGCTGCTCACTCATCGCTTGCAATTCTCTTCCAAAATGGATCATTCTTTCGATAGCTGCTTGGCTGCCACCGCACAGTTGACGCCTTAACTGACTTGAATCTACTTCTGCAAAAACGATATCGTCATCATCACCACTAATAAAGAGACAAGAAGCAAGCTAGGGATCTAGGTGCACTGATTTCACTTTAAAACCATCTGCCTTCTCAGGGGGAAAGCATGTAGGGCCACAGATCTTGGCAGACTGCACTCCTGTGCTGCACCCTGTTAAACTGCTCCTTAATTAATAGTAACTTGGAAGATTTACTTGATGGCAAAAGCCATCCACACATACTGCTTTTTTTTTTTACAACAAATTGTATTAAACTAACTGGGACTATAAACCAGATTTTACTGAAAATAAATAAAAGAGCCCCCACATTCTAGCTACCTTTTAAATTATTTGTCATTGGACTTCTAAAGATAGGCCAAACCCTGAACCAGTAAATTAGAATAAAAAGAACTAAACCCCTAGCTCCCATGACAGACACTGCTGTTTAGAAGGTACACAGTCCTTGTACAACATACTAGCTTTATGATTTGAACATCTTGGGCTTCTTTTGTAATGAAATGGAACATTGCTATCACCTTCTTTACCATTTGGTATAATATTCCCAAGTACTACTGATTTTAATAGGTATTCATGCAGTTTTTGAATAGTAAATTAACCTTTAGCTTATCTGAAAATTCTGCCTTTCTTAAATTTACAACTAGAGATACCTGTAAAAAAATAATTTATCCATTCTTTGCCATTTTTCATCAACAGAACTGAGCTTTGAAACAAAATGTTGTGCCTACTTTATATAACATACACAGCACTAAGGAAAATGTATAAGTATTTCAAAAAGCAGAACAAAATTCTCAATCTGATGCCATAAACAATGTGGTTTGAGGAGCCACATTCCTTTTTACACAAGGTGAAGCACCTGCAAGTCTTCAAGCAGTGGTGCTTGTTGCTAGCTGCAGCCCAATCTAGGGCATCACTTTCCAAAGGCAGAAAAACCCCTCTACATCAAAAAATAAAGCACACAAAAAGACAAAAACCACCCCTCTCTGCTCCCTGTGCAGCTGCTTCACGTCTGTCACAGCAAGCCTCTGTGGTCAAGGCTGCAAGAGAGTAAAGAAGCGTTTTGTTTTTTCTGTCAGAGAAACGAGGCCTTGTTGTTACCCAGTTTCAGAGCATAATGCAGCGAAACAGCCTGGCAGTTTGAGTATCCCCCCCTTCAGGGCTGAAACAGAATTAGATTTGCTCTGGAACAGTTGCGCAGTATTTACCAGCAAAGCCACATGAACCAGCAATGTCCTGCGTTTTGTATTTCACTTAAGCTCCGCATTAACTGGTGTCTGTTTAAATCGATGGCTTGAGAGCACGGTTCCGCAAATGCAGAGAGGTTGGGCTGGATGCTCCCATTTCTCCAGATGCATGCAGGAATAACACCCGCTGCCCAGCCTCCAGCCCGTGCTCTCACTGAAGTGATGTGGCTGCCTTCAGCACTACTGGGCAGGGACAGTCAGTGCTGTACTGGCAGAGTAAACGCTCTCTTTTTAACTTGTACAGCCACTCAGAGGGTACTCATGTACCCACTCATCACTAACAGCAGCAGCTAGGAGTGAACATAAAGTAGGCTAAGTAAAACAGTTACTTTTTAGATCATATTATGGTGGTGGATTTTTTTTTTTTGTTACATCCCAGTTTCCAAATATAGCTCTTTTCCTGAGTACTTAGTACTAGCATCATCACCATTCTTTGTACCCTGTGTAAGTGCTCTGCAATTTCTCCTCTTACTGTTGACTCTAAAGATGCCATCGAGAGCCATGAGTGCTGAGAGGACTGGAAGCGGGAGAAGCCACCTGCCAGCCCTAGCCCAGGCACTCTGCACAAGCAGGGTACTTATTCTGAAAGGTATTTCCTTAAAAATTGATACTAGTTCAAATATCCGTGAGTTAGTACCACTTTCCCCTGTTCTCACACTGATATCAGACCACCTAAATCAGCAGTTTTAAGATTTACATATCATAACAGCAGAACAACAACAACAAAAATTAAGGTTTGAGCTAATATCCTTAATTTTCAAGTTGGGAAGCATTGCAAGTAAAAACATAACCTTGTTGCCATCACTTAATAAAAATGTAAGAAATATCACTGCAGACCCATTTCTGTGTCACATTCTTCCATTTCGTGATCATGTTTAGAACTACCATTTAGGAAGCCATTGGATGAAGTCTCAGCAACCCCATTGGAGTAGTGATCTGTTTCCATGTCTACATCATTGCTGAAATGAGAGGAATGAACAAAAATTGGACTCGTGTTAAAGAACTTGAGGTTATCTTCTTCACAACTTCACCACAAAACATCCTTATCTCGCCCACTGAAACACTGCTTTTAAATATTACCAAGGTAGACCAAAGCAGCAGGGAATTTTTAAGGTTCTCCCAGCTAACATTAGCATTTAGTAAAAACAACGTTTTCAGATGCTGAAAAATGGAATGTGTCCAC